TAAGATAACGTGCTGTCAACTTTGACATTTGTTGACTATTTTAATCATCACTTTCTCCACAGACCTCCAAACGATGTGATTCTTTTTTTATTAGAAACTAGACTCAAACATCTTTCCAATGACTACTAGTTTGTAATTTTTGGACATCTGAGTAGGTACAGTTAATTCCTTAAAGTTAACGTTTTACATATTCCAATCAACTCTCACATTTGTTGGTTGTTTTGCTCTTAACTTTCTCCACGGAACTCCAAATGAGTTGATTCTTTTTTTTTAGAAACTAGACTCAAACATCTTTCCAATGACTACTAGTTTGTAATTTTTGGACATCTGAGTAGGTACAGTTAATTCCTTAAAGTTAACGTTTTACATATTCCAATCAACTCTCACATTTGTTGGTTGTTTTGCTCTTAACTTTCTCCACAGAACTCCAAATGAGTTGATTCTTTTTTTTTTTGAATCTAGACTCAAAGAGCTTTCAAATGACTACTAATTTGTAATTTTTGGACATCTGAGTAGGTACAGTTAATTCCTTAAAGTTAACGTTTTACATATTCCTGTCAAGTCTGACCTTTGTTGGTTGTTTTGCTCTTAACTTTCTCCACCGAACTCCAAATGAATTTATTCTTGTTTTGTTGGAATCTAGATTCAAGGAGTTTTCAAATGACTACAAATTCATAATTTTTAGACCATTGTACTAGGTGCAATTAATTTCCCAAAAACAATATTTTTCTAAGCTTCCTAAATGAGTTTAATTTCAAGTTATTGTTTCATGTTTGTTATTTTAGATGGGTGTGTGAGTTTAATGGTCATGAGTGGTGTTTAGTGCACCAATGAAAATGTTACTGTGCACAAATTTTAAAAGGAAATTTCAATAAGTAATAAATCTGTGAACAAGAGGGAAAGATATACGTATAAGATAACGTGCTGTCAACTTTGACATTTGCTGACTATTTTAATCATAATTTTTTCCACAGACCTCCAAATGATGTGATTCTTTTTTTACTAGAAACTAGACTCAAACATATTTCCAATGACTACTAGTTTGTAATTTTTGGACATTTGAGTAGGTACAATTAATTCCTTAAAGTTAACGTTTTACAAATTTCTGTCAACTCTTACATTTGTTAGTTGTTTTGCTCTTAACTTTCTCCACAGAACTCCAAATGAGTTGATTCTTTTTTTTTTTGAATCTAGACTCAAAGAGCTTTCAAATGACTACTAATTTGTAAGTTTTGGACATCTACGTAGGTACAGTTAATTCCTTAAAGTTAACATTTTATATATTCGTCCCAAGTCTGACCTTTGCTGGTTGTTTTGCTGATAACTTTCTCCACCGAACTCTACATGAGTTTATTCTTGTTTTGTTGGAATCTAGACTTAAAGATCTTTCAAATGAATATTAACTCATAATTTTTAGACCACTGTATTAGATGCAGTTAATTTCCCAAAAACATGTTTTTTTAAGCTTTCTAAATGAGTTTACTTTCAAGTTAGTGTTTCATGTTTCTATTTTATTCTCTTTTATTTTATTTCTTTATAAACTTGCAACCATCAACCATGACTAACACGAGTCATCCATTGAAAAAAATGGACAAAGACAGCCTTAAGCACAAAAAAATCACCATGGGGAGTCACGTTCTCCCAACTGGGGAGTGACTTGTAAGTTTTTGTACAAATAGCCATTAAGCCACTGGTAATCGATTACAGACACCATATAATCGATTACCAAGGCATGTATCGGCTTCAAGTGCTGAAGGACTTTAACTACCTTGCTGAAACACTCACATGTGGTCTTTGCTCCATAATAGGCTAGACAAAGATGAGTTTTGATGCACTTGAAACCATCAACCATGACCAACAGGAGTTATCCATTGAAAACAATGGACAAAGGCAGCCTTAAGCACAGAAAAATCACCATGGAGGGTCACGTTATCCCAATTGGGGTACCTATTAAGCCACTAGTAATCGATTGCAGGAACCATGTAATCAATTACTAGAGCATCTCTTAGGTTCAAATGTTGAGGCACTTGAACTACCTTGCTGAAACACCCACATTGGGTCTTTGCTCCACAATGAGTTGGGCAAAGTACACTTTTGATGAAGGTTGGAGAGAAGACCGAAATGAAGAGGGAGAGAGGAATGAAATCTGAGTTGAAAATGGAGGGTACAAAGAGGGGTAGTTTGGGAATCTCAAAAAGGTAAATATGCGTCCCTTTTCACCATAGCGACTGCAAAAAAAAATCTACAGTCCAATAAGAAGCTAACACGTGACCATTGTTAAATTGTTGTCAAATTTTAGTTGTTAACATATCGCGATCCCCACTATATACACCCTGCACCCCCACAGAAATGGCTTGCTCTCGTTCTCTTTGTTGTTCTTTCTCCATTGTGTATGGTAGTTGTGTGCTTTTGTGCGTGGTGGTGTGGTGGTGCAAGAGCTTGGTTGAAGAGGTTCCTGGTTCAAGAAGGTGGTCCGGTGGTCGTCAACGATGGTGGTGGGTTGCAATAGCTCGTCGTAGGTGCAAATGCTTAAACGGAGACTTGAAACAGATTTCAAAATCCGTAAATGTCTTCAACAAATATTGACAACGAATTTCAAAATTTATTGAAGAGCCAACGAAGCAAGCACACCCCTCTTCAGCAAACGAATCAAGCACCTAACTCAATGGATGTAACAAAAATGAAAACAATGGGGAAGAGAGAGAAAAAGAAATGAGATTGTGGAGGTGGGGTGGGGTGCGACATAGGGATGAATAAAAAGGGAAAGAGGATTTAAGGTTTTAAATAAAAGTATAAAAATAAATAGTAAAAATAAAAAATATTTACTGTATTTTTGAAAAAAAAAATTGGAGAGTAGTGGGAGAAATATATGGTGGTGTAGGAAGAAACTTTTTTTTCAGATGTTAGTACGAAATTATTCGACAGTTCCTTCTTCCACCTCCGTACCTATTTTTTCTGCACCCCACAAAATAAATTTCCCAATCATTTTCAACTTTACATTGTACAATCCAAAAATTAAAAATGATTTTCATGTGTAATGTGAAAATCACTTGTCCCTTAAGAAAAGACTTTCGTTAATTTAAATCTAAAAAATGGCAAGTTATTTTTAATTTTTAGATTGTACAATTGAAAAGAAAAGGATAAAATGGAAAATTTCTTTTGTGCGGGACTGCAGAAAGAAACTGCCAAATTATTTAAATGCTGTGAAGTTTAGGTAGGTTTCCCTCCCATGCTTTTGTTGGAGAATAATGAACCCTTTTACTTTTTCCTAATTCTCTAACATTAACATGTCTTAGCCTTTCACAAAATTATCCTTAATTCTTTGTTTCTAAATTCCTAAGTTGAGTAGGTTGGAATTCATCATAGAAACTTTGACTTACTCAAGTAAGAGTTATATATATTCCATTAGTTATCACACTGAAGTCTTAAATTTATAATGCAATTACCTATTTCCTTATTTTACTTTTGTATTTATAAATTTTGAAATAGATTTTTAATTATGATTGATTTAATCACGATCCAAAAGTCTATAAGTGTAATTCATCTATAAATATGTTTAATTTGTAATGATCAATCAATTGAGAAAACATCTAGTTTATAGAAACTTATAATTCGAAATGACTTTCCACCAACATTAGTTTAGAAATGTTGACCGTTTACTTAGAAATAACTAGTGAATTAAATACAAATCGTCTAAAAAGATTTCCATGTGAAAGAAATATAATAAAAAATATTAAAATGAATTAACTTATCCTTCATAAAGTTTGAAAAATGTTGGAATGAAATGATATTGGTGGTGACTAAAGTTTTGAGAAAAGAAATTTGTTTTATACTTGTTAGGTAATTATTTGATAGGTTTGATCAAAGAGGAGGTTAAAGTGAAAGAGAGGGAGAAGAGTGTGTGTGTGTGTGTTTGATATAGATAAATAAAAGTAAAGAAAGTAGAAAGGATTGTTGAAGTAGGTGTGTGACAAGGCAGAGGAAAAAAGAAGTTTTGTTTGGTATGAGGTTTTTGTTTGTGTCGGTGAATGAGTGCCTAGTGTCTGGCAAGACAGCAACCTCATTGTGTGTTTTATAAGAAGAAATGTGTTTTTAGTTTTAGTTTAAATAACTGGTGAGGTTGTGTAGAAGTAGAATGAATACATAAGATAGATTGGTGACGTGCCTGTCGTCTCGTGAATGCGGAGGACTGAACTACTAACCTTATTTTCCATTCCCTTCATTTGCTTTCGTCTCTTACATCCTTTCTTCCTCCTTCAAGGTTAAAACTTATTTCCTTTTGATAGTCATAGTCAAATTTGATAGTTCAAATTCCTTAATCAAGGCCAACACGACACATTTTAGTATATACCCTCATTACGCCAACGTACCATATTTAGGACCATAATTAACTTAATTATAATAAATTATGGATTATTTATATTATTGTGTACTATAAAAACTAAAATATACTAATTTTTTTTTTATTTTCTTAGTTCAATTTTAAAAAAATCAAACTTTTTCTGTTAACAGTTTAGTTAACAGTGTTTAAAACTTTTCTTAATTGCTTTACTCGTTCTTCCGCAACACTAACATAAGATAGTAAAAAATAAAGGCATGTTTACTCGTTATCTTTCAAGTTCAATTATTAATTTCTTTTAGTTTAATTATGATATAGTTAATTATAATTTAGTATAATTTAGTTACTTTTGCCAAGTCTTAACCATAATAGAACCAACACCTGTTTCCTAGCTAGAAGCGAGTAACTACATACTTGTGAAGTACAAACGATAAGTAACACAAATACCATAGCAAAATATTGAAAACTGAAAAAAAATTGATAGATACGAAACGATTGACTGGGCTACGATTAAGACCACGCCGCTTATGGGAATGTGCATCATGGTGGACATTTTTCACTCTTTCCAAATTGGAATCGCTCAGCAGCAGCAACTTCCTATAATTTTAGTTTCTTAAACAGCTAAAATCTCCTTCAACGCTACAAGGAAAGTAACTCATTCTACACTAACACAACAAAACATAAAATTAAGATTAAAATTTTCGGACTCAAACGTATGGTTATACAAAGCATTCATTAATACAGGTGACAGGAAATTATTACCACCATCGAGACAAAGCTAATCTAATTCTACAATTCATATATTAATTCTTAGACCAACGATCTGTAGACTATTTTACAGTTTGAGCTTCTTCAAAAAGAATCAGAGTTGCATTTCATTATGAACCTGTACTTTTTTAAATGGGTGTGCTAGCAAGAGCTTCAGATAACAACACAATAATGAGTTCCAGCGCCAACCAGACACAAATCCAAATATGGTCGAGTCGAGCCACACAAGGCTTCCTCTGCTTTAAATTTTATTGAACCTTCGCAAGGCTTCGGCTAGATACACCGTGTAATAGTTTCACAAACCCAAGAAAGCTTAATTTTCCATCAGTGTGGCGTATCCAATCGTGAAGAACAACATGAACAGGGATAGAGGGACCAAGTCCAAGTTCCTAAACAATATTTTGAAGAAATATGATGCGGATTAGGCATATATACTCATGAACTAAAATAGTTGTATATAGACAACTTTAATTTTAAAATGTTCACCCTATCACTAACAAGAGTCACATCAGTACATTCTTGACAGATCCAGAAGTAATCAGTAGCAGATAACTGCAGACTTGTTAGATCCATATAAAGTGGAGATAGAAAGTGTATATGCATTAAATTATGCAAAGTGATGCCATCAGATGTAGTTACTCAATTTTTTTTGGAAGACCTTTGTTAAATTTGGTTGGAGGGCCATGCATGAATTTTTAAGGTCTTTAGTCTCTTCACCTATTATGGGAAAGGGTGGTGTTTTATGGCCAAGCATCTTTATGGTTCAAAGCCTTGCTATACATCTAATTTTTGGGTTCTTTAGTTTCTTATCCTCCATTACTTCCACTTTCTGTTCTTTCCTAATAAATTTTCTGCAACTACCCCCTCCATCTGTTTTAGTTTCCTATGTAACTACCCCTGCCATTAGTTCTTTTCTTTCTTTACTTTCCCTACGGCCTATGGAGGATTCCTTATCCTCCTAAGTTGTACTTTCTGTTCTTCCTAATAAATTTTGTAACTACCCACTCCCCACTCCAAAAAGAAGGGTTACAACCTACATCAATTACAAGCACACACATACATAAATCAGTTATAGTGGAAATAACGGTAAATGCAGCTTCAAGAATAATCGCTAATAGTCTAAGAGTGAAGTGTTCTTTTCTGAACGTACTGAAGCAAGCTCTTCAATGACAATAGCCCTGTTTCCATCTTTATCAAAAAGCTCATAGGCACAGCGAGCATGTTGTTCCCATCGATCAAGAGCTTCAAGTTGATGCACACTTAACGCAGCTGCACAAAATTCTTCAAAATCCATCCTTCTATATTGTAATGAATTCAGCTGTCATAAAAAGAAATATAAAGAACATGTAAGATTGAAACAAATCAAATTAAGAGATATGTCTATATACACAGAACATGATAGTTTTACCGAGGAAAGAAAGTCAGGGATGCGAGACTCTTTCATGGCATCTGTTGCATATTTCATCAAGGCCTGCCCAGAATGTATGAATTAGAAAAGCTTGTGGAGTCTAACATAGATAAACTTCATACACATTGTGTGATGACTAACCTTGTTAACATTCTCTAAAGATATGCTGCCATTTTTGCTTGGTTCTAGCAGTGAAAATTGCTCCCTCAGATAATAGAGTTCATCTGCAGTCAGTGTCTTTGACAAGGCCTGTGAAAGAGACAAATATAATTAATTAGTCAATTACTAAAAGAAAACTAAATTGCAAACACTTTTGGTCAGAAGCACGCACCCTTAAGGCAGCCTTGCGTAAGGACGATGATCTCATATATGTCTTCATGAGCTTAAATATTAAAATATCAAGTGGAACTTTTACATTGTTGTAATTTCGTATCCAAGGATGACCTGCAAGCTAAAGATTATTGGTGGAAGCTTGAAAAATAACTTACTAGATATGAATGATGATATAGGTAAAAGAAAAACTGACTTAGAGCCTGAGCAGCAGATATCCGCTTCCGTGGGTCCTTATTCAGTAAGCGTTTGACAAAATCCTTTGCTTCTGAAGATAAAGATGGCCACGGTGTTTCATCAAAGCTAGGATCAGCTTTCAGAACTGCCCTGAAAATACCAGACTCCGTTCGAGCCCAAAATGGACAACTACCACATAAAAGAATATAAGATATCACGCCTATACTCCACACATCAGCCTCTGTGCTGTAAGATCTATGGAGAACTTCAGGGGCCACATAATATGCACTTCCAACAATATCATAAAGCCTTTCATCTGTAAGACGCAATTCAAGAAACAATATCATTCCCAAGGTCTCATGATGTAAAGGATACTACTACCAACTACCAGGTAAGGACTTGTAAAGGAAGACCTGGTCTGACAAAATCTGATAACCCAAAGTCTATAGCTTTCAACTCAGAACTTTCATCCTTTTTAGTGTACAAAAAATTCTGAAAAGAAAAATACAATGAGGTTACATAATATTCCAAGTTGAAATTCATATTCAATGAGTCAATCTAACCTTTCAATATATATATATATATATAGAAAAGCAATTTATTTAGGGGATTTTCTTTGCTATTATTTATGGTTTACTTTGTTTCCTAACCACCAAAATATATATATTAAGTAAGCTAATGTTAGAGCTGGTGCCCAAGTGACTGGTGAACTGTAGCTAGGACTCCTCATGTAGATAAGTTAGAGAGCTTCATCAAACATTTACCTGTGAGATAAGAATGAGGGGCTTCTTTGGGGAAGGGTGTAAAATTCAGTTACAAATGGGTAATCCACCCATGCCCAACTAACCATTTCCATGCCTAGCTAGTGTTTACATGAGTCTGGAAATATAGAAGATTCAGAGGCTTTAACCATATGCTCACCTCTGGCTTAAGGTCTCGGTGCACAACACCCTGAAGATGACAAAATGCAACAACATTTAGAATCTGCACCATTACAGCCTTTGCATCATCTTCTGAGTATTTCCCTCCCCTAAAGAAAAAATAAAACGTGTAGTTAGTCAGTGACAAGGCGCAATTCCAAAGGTCAACTTTCTTATCAGTATAGAATGTAAAGTAAAGCAGGTCTGTTAACCTTGATAATATCATATCTAAGAGCTCCCCCCCTTCACATAACCTGAATTGTCAATAAGATCCAGCAGGTTACAAAAACAGTATAAAGCAAAAAAGAAAAATCAACGACCAATAGGTATTCTATAAACAAAAATATGATAACCTAATACATAGTGCAGGTGTCACTAAAAAGGTTGTATCATATATTTTGTATGATAAGATGTTTTATTTGAGCTAAAAGAAAAGTTATTGTTAAACTTCACTAGGATGGCCCGAGAGAACTACAGCTACAACATAGCTTTGAAGATAAACAGAAACAAACATCCCAAACTTACTCCATTACAATGTACACGTTATCTTGGTCTTCAAACGCATCATAGAACTGTATCAAATTGCTGTGTCCATTCAAAGCTCGCAATATTTTCACCTCCCTTCTCACATCTTCAATAGCAATTGCTGTTGTCATCTGGCAAAAAAAGAGGGTGAAGATGAAAACAATAGTCGTAATTCCTTTTATACAAATCATCGAAAAGGACATAAAACCTCAAGTTTTCTCCAGTAAACGACCCAAACTAGTTGGAACTCAACGACAATCTCAGAACTGCCAAGTGTTCCAAGTGACGCACCAAATGTAAGGCAGAAGGGCATATGATGATTAAGATTAAGATTGAACATAAAAAAAATTAACCTTTGATTTTGGTATGACCTTAACAGCCACTTGTTGACCCTTAAGCTCACCCTTCTTGAACCTAGCAGAACAAGTATACCCAAAATGCCCTCGACCCACTTCTTCACCAACTTCCAACCTACTCGTGAACTCCTTGGAAAACCCAAACCTCTTATCCAAATCCGCCGCAGCTCCACCGCCATCCTCCCCCTCCTCCGATATCGCAGCTGCCGCCGCCTTCTTTCCCTGCCGCCGCGTCAGCACAGCCCTTATGTGCTTAGCCGGCGACGGCGGAGGGAACGGCCTCCGGAAGAACCTCCTCGGCGTGGAGGCCGCGCTCCTGCTCCCTCCCGCCGGCGCTGGAGACTTTTTCAGGAAGCGCGCGGGGCTCGGGCTGTAGAACGGGAAGAACGGAGACTGTTTCCCGGCGGCGACGTCATCTTTCCGGCGGTGGTTCTCGGCTGCGGCAGGACTAAGTGGGGCTTTTGGGATTTGCGAAGGGTCGGCTTCGGCTTCCGCTTCGCGAAGCGCGTAAGGGTTCGCCTTCTGTGGCTTCGATGTGCAAACTCCCATCACTGAAAGATCACAGAAGCTGAGAGCTAATCAATCATTGGTCACGCCATTGCAGAGAAGCTTCCTCTGGGTCTTGGTGTTTTCTGCGAAAGATTCGAACTTTGCAGAGGGTTTTAAAGAGGGCAGAAGTGGATTTGTTGAGGCAGGGGAAGAAGAAGAAGAAGAAGACGACGAAGAAGAAGAATGGTGATTTCACGCGACACGTGGCATGCACGTGAGTATTGGGTTTTGGGTGTTCATTGAATTGGGAAGTAAAGAGAGGAAGCTAAGGAGAGAAGGGAAGGTCTGAAATTGAATTAACGAGGAAGAGGATGATGATGAGAACAGTGATGTGCTTGGGTAAGAAGATGGCAAAGGGGGGTTGTATTCTATTGTTTCTTGCCACAGGTTTGGCTACATATTGTTCCCCCTTTTGACTCATCACCAACACTGCCGTACCAAGAGAAATATACCATTATTATAGCAACAAAGAAAATTCTTATCTTTTAATCAAATTATTTGTTACTGTCACGATGAAAAATCTTTCAATTCCCAATTGACTAAAACAAAACACGTTATCTGTTCATACCACTTGTTATTCGGTTGAAGTAAAGTCCAATTCAAGAGCTAAGTTAATATATTCTTGACTTATTAACCACTTTTTTGTAAATAGTTTGGGCATGCTTCTTCCCTCTTTGTTTGGCTTAAACAAGAAATCAGGCCGAATGTGGTATTCCCTTTCCAACTGTGAAGTGAACAACAGCGACGGTTTGAGATCACTTTGTTAGATGTCACACGTAAATAAGCAACACCAAAATCACACGTATCACCTTTTGAAAAACATCTTTTTCTCCGAAACCTATAAAGAGAGAAAGAAAAAATGGTGTCAAAAAAGTCTCACTTATGCTCTGTCTGCTCGAGTAACACAGCTTCTGCATACTGATACAAAAATTGAATGCAGTTTGAATTGAAGTATACAATAATAATATTATATAATGTTAAAGGATTTGTTAATATTTTATGTGATGAATAGAGTCTGAGATCTGTTTTCTTATCTTGGGACTCAGATACGGATCTGGTACATGGAAGTAAGTTGATTTGGCAGTAGCATATGATTTGTTGTTCACATGCAAACTCTGGATTTAACAATGCACGTAAGACAATTTTATAAATTTCCCTGACCAACACGACTTGGAGGTTCTCACCCATGTGAGGGCCAACTTCAATACAAATTAAAGTGAGTGATTAGTAAGCAATCCCTTGCATCCTTTTTCTTTCGTTGTTCTAAATGAAATTACCATGCAAACTTACTTCTTTTTGTTTTTAGGTTTAATCATTTTGGATGTCCATATTTTGTGCAATTTTTTCAAATAGATCTTCGCATATTATTTGTTCTCAATTAGGTCCTTATTTTTGTAAAATTTACTCAATTAAAATCTTGCCGTTAATTAGACTGGACGACATTAAAATTTATGTGTGTTGATTTGCTGACTGTGCAATTTTTAATGATGTGGCACAGCTTAAGTGGAATTTATTTTATTTTAATTTTTAAATAAGATAATGTGCAGCTACAGCGGTGTGCAGCTACGGCGACAAAAACCATCCCTAAACCCATGACAACCAGCTCTCCTACATCGGCGGCAACACCAAGATCCTCGCCATCGACTACGCCATCAAGTTTCCCATTTTCCTTTCCAAGCTCACGGCTCTCTGCGACGCCACGTCGCAAGACCTTACCTTCAAGTACCAACTCCCTAGCGAAGACCTTGATGCCTTAATCTTCATTACCAACGACGACGACCTGGAACACATGATGCACGAGTACGACCATCTCTATCGCCCTTCCAAACCTGTTAAGATGAGACTTTCTCTTCACGCTTTTGTCAAACCCTAATTCCTCGTTCTCCTCAGATCATGATCGCTTCGTTGATGCTCTTAACTTTGCTCCAATTCCTCTACAACCTGACGCCATCAAAACCCCTCCCGTTACTCCTTCCCATGTCGATTACCTCTTCGGTCTCGACAAGGTCGTTGCTCCTCCCACTCTCCCTCCTACCTTTGTGACCGTCAATCCAGGAGGAGGTTTCACCTGCTAATCAATTGCAGCCTCCACTCCATTGCTCTACAACCCCCCTTTTGAATCATTCTATCGAATTTCACGATTCTACCACATACTCATTCCGATGAGAAGACCCAGATGGAAATTATCACCAAAACTATTTCAGGGATCCTCCTTTCTCCCCCACAAAAGCGTTTTTTAACGGGATTTAATGTCAAAGAATCATATAATTCTTCCTGGCAGTAGATTCCACCTTTTTTCCCTTTTTAAAATCTTAAAGTTTTAAATTTTTCAATATGAATAATAATGGGCACCAACCTGGTTCTAAGCCAAAGAACAATATTCTCATTAATGACGTAGTTATCAATAATAAACTACAAATTTTCTCGTTTAATTAGATTGAATCTTTGATTGTATCTTAATAATCTTACATTGAATGTTTGAAGCGATATAGTAAAATAACTTTTGCTCAACATTACTCAAGTTGCAAATGAGAATAGTGCATGGACTCACAACCTTAAGTAAAATATGTAAACATTACTCAAGTTGCATTGGAAAATAAGAATAGTGTATGGACTCACAACCTTAAGTAAAGTATGTAAACCCAAATAATGGTAACTTCACCTCCAACATTAATTAATCATCCTTTGACGGAAATCATGGAGGAAGAAATAAATATAGTGGAAGATATAGTGGTTGGTGGAAATAATAATGTTCGGTATCGAGTCTTCAACAAGTATATTCATATTGTTAATGTAAAACCCATAAAATATAGGGATTTTAGGAATAAAGTTTTGTTACAACTTGAATATGTTTTCTTTTAAGAGTTTATATGTCTAACAAGGTGTTGTGTGTGTACATCTTGGTTGAAACATAATTGTTATGATATTTTTTTTATGTTATTTTAATAAAAGTGCAACACATGTTGGTTTGTTTGTTGGATTGTGATATGTGTGTTATTATCAATGGGATATGTTTGCTTGTTGGTAGAAATGGTTGTCTAGGATCGAATGTGAGTGGGTTCAATTCTTAGGAGAAAGTTTAAGGAAAACCTTAGTTTTTATTTATAATTATACATAGGGACAAAATGGTCTTTTTACCATTATTAATTGGTGAAAAAATTAAATAAGGGGGTGTGGGAAGTAAAGGGTCCATGTGATAAATTAGAATTTGAAATAAGATGAGGGGTAATGTGAAAGTGAAGAGAAAGAGAGTTTAAGATAGAATTGAATTTAAAAATCAGTGGGGATATTAATAAGAGATATGATAGGGTGGTTTTCAAGATTTGAAAGAGATTTTCTAAAAACATAAAGTTAGGATTTGAAAATAAAATAGAGATAACTGAACGTGGGAAAGGGAGGATTCAACTACAAGAATGTGAGAAGTTTAGGATTGCTATGATCCTTGTGGTTAAGGAAAAACCTTAAGCATTGGCCAAGGTATGAGGAATCTTATTGTTAAGAAGTGGACTTTAAGCCTAACTCAACCCCACAAAACTGGTTTGTAGGGTGAGGTTTGCACCCCACTTATATATTATAATTTTGCCTTATCTCTAGTCGATGTGGGACTTCCAATACATCCCCTTCACGCTGAGGTATAGACATCTCAAGCGTGATAGTAGAAATGGGTGGTCCGATAGCGGCCCAACAACAAGTAGAATAAATATGCCTAAGAAATAAGAAATGTCGCTAGGATAGGCTCTAACCTTGGCACTGACACAAAACCGGTTTGTAAGGTGAGGTTTGCACCCCACTTATATATCATAATTTGGCCTTATCTCTAGTCGATATAGGACTTCCAACACTTACCTTGTTCTTATTGTTTATTGTTGTTAGCATAAAGATGAATCTCAGAAGTTTTGATGATGTCTCAAAATCATGTCTCAAGTGCTCTTGTTGCAAGAAGATCTTCTTGAAGACTTGTCTTTATGTTAAAGCTTTTGTAATTGAGTAGAATCATGGATAGGTTGTGGTTTATCTCTGATTGCATGTATTGCTTGTCTTTAGTTGCCTTAAAATTCGTTCGAATCAGAAAACCTCATTTTCACTCAGGATAATCGATTACCAACTAATGATAATCGAATGTATAATGAAATCTTAATATGTGATGTGTGTTTCTTTTTACATTAGCTTACTCTATTTGTGTGTTTATGTGTTTGTCTATTGGTGTATGTTTGGTTCTTGTTGCAATGGTTATCTACTGGATGTGAGTAGAGAGAGATAACATGTTTCTGGAGCAAGCTCTAGGTGGAGACGGCACATATGTGTAGTGCTTTAGTATATATAATTATTCATATTTTTTTATTGTTGTTTTAGATAACTAACTTTGTACATAGTTTTGAGTTTAATATCTTGTATATAAAATTTAATTGTGATTATATTTTGTATAACTGTAATGCGACTTTATATTCTTGTTAACTATTCTATTTTATTAAATATGTGATAATTTCTATATAATATTTATACTATTTAAATGAGATGTTACTTATTACATGATAATGTTGTACGCCACATGTTAGAATAATATCACAATGCTTTGTATTCAATTTATCTTTAAATTTAAAATTTTGACCTAATTTAACCCCAATTTTTTAAAATAAACAATTTTGTTTTTCTTTAAAATAGGACCAAATTAATAATTAAATTTACACATATTAAAATAATTTCTATAAATCTATACATCACATAACTCCACTTAAATATTAAAATTAATTTTATTTTATAATTTTTTTTTAATTTTCAATAAAAAACCTCTATTTTAAACTTATAATTTCTTTTAAATATTAAAACTATAAATACAAAATGATACTTATAATTTTTTAATTTTAATATTTGAAATAATTTCAAGAAAATATTCTTTGTTAACTTATTTATAAATTTAATGTAATAAATACATGTAAATTTTTTTAATTAAAATTAAACATATATAAAATAACATTAATTTTAATATTTAAGTGAAATAATTTGATACATAAATTCTAAAAACTTATTCTAAGATTTATATATAAGTTATAATTAAACTTAAATACAATTGAACAACATTTTTCTATTGCATTTCATAACATTAACATCTATATATTTAATATTTTTCTATTGTATTCCATGACATTAACATCAAAGTTGTCATGCACTTAACCATTACAGACTAAAGAGATAAAAGGAACAAAAAATTATTTAAGCCTTGGTTTTAAGATATCATACGTAAATTTCATGTATATTTTATTTAGAATTCATAAGGAACAAAAATGTACTCCTTTCATTTCAACCCAACAAAGTATTTGTATGGTTTCTAACCAATAAATGCGCTACATAACACCTTCAGTGTAAGTTTCCAATAACAACTATCAAAATCACTTAGAACATTGCCTTGTCCATCAGCTATATTAATT